TTTCTTTAAAAAACATAACTATTTGTATAGCTCCCTAAATAATAAAAAGATATATTACAGTGAAAGCAATGAAGATTTTGTAGGTTTTGAACCAAACTAAATAACAGTAAACCTTTTTTGATTTACGGTATTTTCTTATTTTTGATGTTTTGAGCTCTTTTATGTTTAGAACAATATATACTAATTTTTAAAGTATCAAATTGGATTTTTGTTCAGTAAAAATCTTTCAAATGTGACTATAGCTTTTTTTTTTCCCCAAAACTTTGTCTTCAAAATAAGGGTGGATCTTATATTCCAAAAAATACGGGATATGTAAGTGCTGGTGGAGTAAGAAGAGGTTACCATGGTTACAAAAGATATTTTGGAATATATTTAACTACAGATGATGACATTAATATTCAAACTTGTAGTCTCTTGCAGTTGCTTGATTTTTGGCTTTTATTTATTTATTGAAACATAAAATACTTGATAATAGTCATTAATGCAGAATTGATAGAATTGTATGTCTCCAAAATTTCATTGTCTTACACCCAAATTCTTAAAATTTATGCACATATGTTTACACTGGTTTCTACTTATGTAGAAAACAACCTATTTTAAGTATATCATATTATGTGAAGTACAATTTTTCACAAACCATAATTTTCATTATTTTATATACTTATCACTTAATATGCTCCACAATAAAAATGTTTATTTGGCTAAATATTACCCTTTCTAACTGATGAATTATATTGCTCAAAAAATGAATCATTATATTATTTTACATTATGAATTACAATACAATTGTTTTATGACATGTCTATTATAAATTGAACAAGTGAAGTGTTCAATTATGATGCATGAAGTGTTTTTAGTCTGTTTTTAAAATGTGTGTGTGTGAATTTTTGAAGCCAGTTAACGGTATAGACAAATGTCCATTACATAACGAGGTTTATACAATAATCGTATATATTTTTCTTTTTTCACAGAGGATCAGTATCCAGCAGAAGTGGAGCAACTTCACCCCCATGTGATGGAGAATTCCATCATCCTGAGATAGACTCTGATTGGGCTGAAGAAATTGGTCCAGATGAAGATGAATCAGCTGGAGAGGATTCAGTAAGATCTTGTTTTTTTGTGTTTTTTACATTTTAGTTAACTGAAAAAAAAAAGGAAGGGGTGTATATTTCTATTGCATTCAATTATGTACAAGATAATGATTTGTTTGTACTTTGTGAAAGTAGCTTTTTTTAAGTAAATATATATTTTTGAATATAAATCATGAAAAGAAAAATGCATCTTTTTTTTTTTGTTCATGTAGTTTTGTTTTGAGATCATAATGTTAAAGATTTTTAGTCAGAAGTAGATCAAATATATTTACATTTTGGCATAAATAGAGAGTATTACCAAATGCTAATTACTGACAACATAAAACTGACATTGTATTCATTTACTATATTTGTATGAAACTGCTCTTAACTTTTTATTTTTTGTTGTTTCTCTCCTTATATCAATTATTTGTGGAACCAGGTGTGGCTAAGAGCAGTTAGAGGAGCAGGCTTTGAAACCAGTGTTTTGGGTTTGCTTCTCATTGCTGCACACTTAGGCCCATAGATGTGTTTATAAAAGTAATGGTTAAATCCCACTATTTTTTTTAAAGTAGATCAAGAGTGCATTGCATTTCTTTTAGTCTGTGAATACAAAACTAAGGACAGCTAGTGTAGGTAGCCTTTGCACATGTTTCTAAAACTGTAATTTACTTGTTTCATATTTTTCACAAGTTGCAAATTTACACTCATGAAAAAAAACAGCTTCAACACCTTAAGTTTAAATCTGGTGTACAGCAGTTAAAATATATGTAGACTTTTCATAGTTTAGTGACACGTTTGAATCTTTTTTTTTTTTTATATTCATTACTAAGTGATAAAGTGAAAAATTAGGGTAACAATGCTCTTCATAGAAAAGAATATGTGCTAGGTAAGCATGTGTTGTATTTTTTCTGTAAATTTATACTTTGAATAGTGTATTGCCATAATTTCTTCATTATACCATTTATTACTTACTAAACCTAAATAACATCAATATATCAGCATGTGAGTTGCATTCATTCATCATTAGAGATCAATGTAAAAAGAAACCAAACACAACAACAACCTTGCTTAGAATAAACAGTTGAATAAATGGGATAAGATGATAAGAAAATTAAATTTTGTTATATGTAATTTTAGGATGAAGATTCCATTTGTAACAAACTGTGTACTTTCACAATGACCCAAAAGGAGTTCATGAATCAGCACTGGTAAGTTCGAGTTCCTTCTTCGATTTGGCTGTGCACATATAGATTATAGAGTATATAGGGCTGAATTAAATTTTAAGTCAAATAGAAAATGGTTTCTTTAATTATGTAGAGTGTTTGTACACACAATTAGTAAGGAGTATAAAAGTAAATCTTTCTGAGAACAAAACATATAATGTACTTAAACATCTGGAAGAAGAATGGTACAAAAGTGTTCTTACAAAGAAATAGGTGCTGGTATATAAACTGAATTCAAAGCTAACCTCTAAAGTTTACTTGAAGTGATGTAGATTTGAAAACATTGAATCGGAGCCCTAGCTAGCGGATCAAATCTCGATGCTTTGCAGAGTCCTACTTTTTCTTCTTTTTGTTTTCCTCTTTCTCATAAGCTAAAAAGAAAACTTGCACAATGACTCTTGTCTTTTAGTTTCTCATTTTATCGTATTGTCATGCCAGGTATCATTGTCACACTTGTAAGATGATAGATGGAGTAGGAGTGTGTACTGTGTGTGCAAAAGTGTGCCACAAGGACCATGATGTCACCTATGCCAAGTTTGGATCTTTTTTCTGTGATTGTGGAGCTAAGGAAGATGGAACTTGTCAGGTAAAAACTGACCATGTATAGTATAGAGTTGCATGCTTTTATAAGAAAAGGTGTACTTATCATCTTGGCCTTCTAGCTCTTGTGATAACAAGTGATAGTGTGTGTGTGTGATGTAATATGCTGTAAGTTATGTTTGTTTTTGTTCTATATTTTGGTTTGCACAAACATTTGTGCAAATTTGTAAATAGTAAAAAGCATAAAATGTAAGTATTTTGTATTGTTTTAGGCTTTGGTTAAACGAAGTGCCCTACCAGGGCCTGAAAGTGGGACATCAGCTTCAGTTACTTCAGCTTTCCCCTTTTCGTCTGAAACAATTCTTCCAAGTTCTTTACGTCGTCGACAGTCATCACCCACTCCAGGATCATCCAATCTTGATAGAGGTGGAAGTAGCTTGAATGGAGGGGATGGGAAAAAGTCTTTTGACGAAGCTTTGAAGCACAAACAAGCATTAGCCAAACTTCTGGAGGTACAGTGTATCATTAAATATGGTAGTACTTAATAGTAGGGATCATGATGAAACAAAATGGTGGCCATAAAAATTGCCTGTTTAAAACCACCTTTAAAACATTGGAATATTAACAATGACAATTCACAGTAATGGCTGAGCAAAACTAAAGCTTATTGTATGTATAACTAAATCGCTATATATGTGTTTATGGAGGGAATTAAAATTTCACTGTTTTAACAAATTTTCATCCAAGTAATTAAGTTTTTTTTGTTGTTTTTTTTCAGACAAGCATACACAAAAATTACGAATCTTATTGCTCTGTTTTTTTCACAGAACTCTTCCATCTGGGGTCTCAATGATTCCTTTCTTGTACCAAAAAGGATACTAGTATATACGTAGACCGATATACATGTAACTTAGCTAGCTGTAGTAGTATAGAAAGTTAGGTTACATATGTGTGTGTGTGTGTACACATTGATCCCTACTTGTCTTTATAAAATCTAAAAAATGTTTTATTGTACTTGTAAATGTACTGAAGTGATATTAAATATTTAAGCATCATACCATATAATTAGTAGTCCACAATTGGGTGTGGCTTACTGTACAATAAACAAGTTAATGCACAAGACAGAGCAGCCTTCAAAGTAAGAAAAGCCAATTACTTGAACAAAAATGTCAAGTTTGTGTTTTTCAAACACTAAGCCATCAACAATTGTGTTGAAGGGTTTAGTAATGGTACTCTAGTATCTTGTGTTCTAATCTAAATAAACTAAAATAATCTCATGTTTAATGAAGGGAACTAATTCCAAAACATTGAAAAATCAATATTGTGAATTGCTTCTCATCATTTTTTGTTTTCTTTTTGTTTTTTTTACAGAGTTTTAGAGATGCCCTTATTAGTCACATGGTAAGCATAATTTATTTTCACAAAAGAAAAATTCTGAATTTGGTAGCTTTTTTTTTTCATAATGTCATAGAAAAAAATATATTTTAGTTATCTGGAGGGAAATGTCTTTCAAAAAAAAAACATTTTAATATTTTGACCTATCATTATAGGCTTAGAAGGCACCATGTAGAAATTATTTGAACATTGTGCTAGTTGTCCTATGTTTTCATAGATCTTTATCATGCTACTCTCGTGGCTGTTATTTTAGTAAAGTTGAGCGTTATTGAACTCTGCAATATGTATGAACTTGCCACTCATCTTCAAGCTTTTTGTTGTTTTTTTTGCATATCTTTCATTTGTTTCACTCATTGGAGTGATTATGGGAATTTTTGGGTAAGTACTGCTATGAAAATAAAGGCATCACCTTTACTGACAAAGCCATAGTCATGAATAAATGAAGTTTTTATGAAACATACAGTGGTCTTTGTTTTTTATTCAGTTCCGAATTATGGAGTTTCAACAAGTACTGATGGATTCAAGTATCAAAAGATTTCACTTAGTTGTAACTTTTACTAGCTTTGTTTCATTGCTTATTAACCTTCTGTGAGTCAATTTGGTTTTTTTTGCTGTCTTTTCAGTATAATGAAAATTAGTTTATGTTGAGTACATGTTTAAACAGGAACATGGCTTGTTTTGTGTGGGCAATAATAGGGTTATATAGTGAATATGATAATTGCCTATTTATTGTTCGTGGGTGACAAACCAGAATAGATAACTCCTTTACTGAGGAGAAACAATGGATTTTTTTCACAGGATATAGTGCACGTGAAAATATTTATTTTATGCCCCAGATATATTCAGAATCACTCTGAGAGCATCTAACTTTCAAAATATATTGGAAGGTCTGCAGTGTCCCCCACATCCAGCCGGATTTACTCGCACTACACACTTGTAGCCCATTCCTTGGGTATTTCAGTTTATTTTTTCCTGTTGACATCCCAGCTACTTTTCTCTTGTAAACTGTGCTACAAAGAACACTTGCAAACTGAACTAGTTATTGTAGCACTGTCTAGAGGTTGTAACCCTAATATCGAAGATAGAGCTTTTACTAAACTTCAAAAGCATAATTTTTCATGCTGATTCAAGTCTTTCTCTTATCAAAGAAAACATACCTGTAACAAAAAAAAAACATGACAAATTTGTATCATTCCCTTTTGTACCAGAAATTCTAATGAAATTAATAGTTTATTTAGCAAGTTAAAAACTGATGTAAAATCGTATTTAAACCTTTGCATCTTACTACATGTCAGGTTTTTCTGTATGGGCTGGATTATTTACAGTAGGTGTTTGTGACTTGTTGGTAATAAATATCAACAATAAATAAACAACACAAAGTCCACTAGTTTTAAAATAATATATTAAAACAAGTCAAATGTATATACAATGACACTTGTTATAGTTCCTTCAACTTCAGGATTGTCAGAATAATGAGGAATAATAATTTGTTTGTTTTTTCCACCTCTGTATGCTTTATTTTGTGACAACCTAGCCACTTTCATTTTAGTTTTTGTACTTATACTATATTGTTTAAATTTCGAAGATATTACATGTAATTTATATAATGATAGTTTTGTTGTTCCATAGGTCTATTAAAAAACTTGGTGAAAAGTATAGACTTGTTTTTAAATATTTATTTAAAGCATCTTATTTTTTTTGTCCACCTTTTTCAATAATTTTCACTCTAAAAAGTGTTCATACCACTTAAAGCTAAACATATTTTTCATCTATCTTTCTTCATTTAATTGCTTTTGCAAAGTAAATAAGACTTGCCTTTCTGGGTTGGTTGTCTTTAATTCTTTTCATTCTTTTACCATGTGCTTGTGTGCTACGTACTCCCCAGTCACTTTTTGTATTTAGTCTTGGTGTTTAATGATTTATTTCAGAGGGAAAAATGTATATTTAATGTAGTGAAAATAAATAAGTACTCATTTTTGATAACTTGTGATAACTGCAACCAGATTGTACTACTACTGCTACTACTACTTTTTTTTTTCTTCTCCATGTATAACAAATTACTTTTAATTTTAGCCTTTAAGTTACCATCTGCAGAAAAGACTGTTAATAATATGATCAGTTTTTTTCATTTACTGCTTCTTCTTTTTTGTTTTGTTTTTTTGTGCAGGAAAAATATTCAATATTGATGTTTAAAATGTTCAAGATGAATAGTTTACTTAATGTAAACAAAATTTAAATATTAGTTATTGTGGAATAGCAGGAGCCTAATGTACAGATATCTTTTACACGAAAGTATAATTCCTTTCATGAAAACAAAAAATTGAAAGTTTATTTGATTTAATACATACATACATATTACTTTATTCTAAAGGGATCAACTGGCTTGCCTGGCATAATCCTAAGCCTGTTGCAGTATCTCCTTCCTGCTGTTGTGAAGTCGTGTCAGCGGAACTCTCCCATTGGTAGTTCTACCCGAGCTATGAGGGCTCTTCATGAGCTACACACACAAGACAAGGCTTTGGAACATACAGACCAGTTAATGGTTTGTATTTAATTTAATCTCTCAAATACAATATTTTTTTATTAATTTATTTAAGTAAAAGTATTATCTACTTATTTAATAGAAACTACATAGTTTCAACTGATTGAATATTTTATGAGTTTTGATTTAATTACATTATTTTATAAGGGAAGTTGTGATTTCATTCGTAACAAGCCCGTGTTAATAGTAAGGTTTTGACAGTAAGATAACTATTTTATAATATCTACATAATAGTTAGAGATGGGCGTCTTCAATTAATATCAAGTGAAAGTTTTGTGGAATAAAGGGAATTAATTATAATAGTTTGTGCAATTCAGTATATTGTAAAATAAGAAGCTAGATCCATTGTTTGTTTTTTATCCAGATTTTAAACCTACTATTGTAATTTCAGTAGTTTTAGTAATCAAAATTCAACTTTATTTGATACTATGACCTAAAGGATTTCCAAAACATGACATTGTTAAAACAGCTCATTTATACTGTTGCTTTTGAAATAAAAACTTTTTTTCTTTATTATTGAAGTACTCATCTACAAATAAATAAAGGCTTTCCTAATGTCTTTCATTTCTTTTGAATTTAAACCAGCACTTTAAAGTAAGGCCTTCCAAATGTCTTTCATTCATTTAGCTTGAATATCAAACCAACACTTTGAATAAAGCATTATTGAGGTTTTTGATTTGTCAAGTTCCTTGTAAAGTCTAATTCACCTCATTAAAACTTTATTCATGTCTTTAGCTTTAACCTTGCCCATGGTTACTGGTGTTCTCTCAAATCATCTAACTTGGAAAAGTGTGTTAAAAAAGTATTTTACTAAACATTTTTTCCATTAAGAAACTGAGAGAAATGCAGGTTTTCTGAATCTATAGTAGAATATTAGAAACTGGGGTTAGATTTTGATTAAAAATACTTGAAATAAGAGTTTTTCATTACCTGTATGTAAAATTGGAGTATATAAAAACTTTAGTTTTAGCCTTAGCTTTAAAATCAAACTTCAGGTTGGTGTAAAGTAATAATATATATTTCTTTCAACACATTTTAGCCTCTACAATGAACCACTTGCAATTTTAGCATATAAGGTTAGCATTTGTAAAAGAGTCTTTATTAAGAATATGATCAGCTTTTTTATGTTTTAAATAACAGGTACAAACCTTAGGTTCTCAAGAGGGAGCCTTTGAAAATGTTCGCATGAATTATTCAGGAGATCAAGGTCAGACGATCAGACAGCTCATTAATGGCCACATGATCCACAGAGTAGCCATGTGTTGTCTAGCTTCTCCACTGGGAAAAAGGCAGCATCTAGCTGTGAGCCTTGAAAAGGGAAAAGTGAGTCTAAACTTGTATGATTACTATTTCTATTTCTTGCTCATTGAGTTTAAGATGAAGAGCATAACAGTCAGGTAATACATATTAACAAACAAATACACCTGTTCTATTTTTCTTTCCCTTACACCTAAGTTGTATGTGATGAAGAGAAACTATAAGTTACAAAAAAATAATTGTAGGCTACCATCATGCTGAATGGTTTTAAGTTGTTTGTATTTTAAGGAGGAATATAGTTGTATAAATATATATAATTATTGATGGTAAATGGTTTTTGATGCTTTTCTTCTAAAAT